AATTATAGTGGTCATAATTCAATAATACGTTTTGTATTTTTCACAATATTTTATCTTACAACTAGCCAAACCTAAATATATTTTGTCATAGTTCTAATATCACTAAAAGTAATCCATAATTATAGTGGTCATAATTCAATAATACGTTTTGTATTTTTCACAATATTTTATCTTACAACTAGCCAAACCTAAATATATTTTGTCATAGTTCTTAAATCACTATAATTAATCCATAATTATAGTGGTCATATCCGAGAAATCAGCTCTACCAAGTTAATTTCCCCACTCTCTTGGTCATTGTGACGTGACAAACAGGACCACGCCCACTAAAATTAATATTCTGGACCCCTCCATTTTAAAATTGCTGGATCAACCCTTCAACACCAAGTTCTTAAGGCAATGTTTTTAACTTATTTTCTAATATGTGGTTAAATGGTTCACTGGTCATGTTTTCCACAGTTATAATCGTGGTTAACCTGACCACGTTTGACATCCATTGGTGGTATGATAACGTGTTCGACCCGTGAAGATCCGGGGTAGAATAGGTCTTCAGCAGCCCATATCCTTATTCCCTGTTCTTATCATACCCTGTATTTATTCCCTGTCCTTATCATACCCTGTCCTTATCATACCCTGTATTTATTCCCCGTCCTTATACCCTGTCCTTGTCATACCCTGTCCTTATACCCTGTCCTTATCATACCCTGTCCTTATTCCCTGTCCTTATCACACACTGTCCTTATTCCCTGTCCTTATTATACCCTGTATTTATTCCCCGTCCTTATACCCTGTCCTTGTCATACCCTGTCCTTATACCCTGTCCTTATCATACCCTGTCCTTATTCCCTGTCCGTATCATACCCTGTATTTATTCCCCGTCCTTATACCCTGTCCTTGTCATACCCTGTCCTTATTCCCTGTCCTTATCACACACTGTCCTTATTCCCTGTCCTTATCACACACTGTCCTTATACCCTGTCCTTTTCACACACTGTCCTTATACCCTGTCCTTATCATACCCTGTCCTTATTCCCTGTCCTTATCATACCCTGTCCTTATTCCCTGTCCTTATCACACACTGTCCTTATCATATCCTGTCCTTTCCAAGGCATATGTTAATGGTTTTACGAGGGTGAAATGACGACAGGAGGAGTGAGTGAGTGAGTGAGTGAGTGAGTATGGTTTTACGCCGTTTTAAGCAATATTCCAGCAATATCACGGCGGGGGACACCAGAAATGGGCTTCACACATTGTACCCATGTTGGGAATCGAATCTTCGGTGTGACGAGCTAACGCTTTAACCACCAGGCTACTCGACCGCCCCACAACAGAAGGACATGTTACTTGAACCTTTAGTTCAGGTGAGCTATATAACTGAATATTAACACGTTTAGATCGCGGAAACCATAACTAATGATATATCAACATCCAATTTCGTATTTTGGTCGATCAAATTAATATTATTTAAATATGATATCAGTCTTGTAACAGTTGGCTTAAAATGAAAATAAACGTACTAAGCCATCGTACATTTAAATAGTTTTATGTATATCTAAGACTGGGGTTGTAAAATATCAGTAGATAAAAGCGACAAAAGCATTTCCATAATCATAAGACATCTCTGCTAAAAGCAGCGTCCACTGAACTATTTCGACTAGACTAACATCTAGTCTCTGAAATGAACATATCGTACAGAAATAAAATAGTTGTTACATTATCTTAATAAAAAAAAATAATAAAAAGGAGCCCAGAGACCCTCTTCATTTACTGCAGAAATCTAGACTTGCCAAACATTATAGACTTGCATGGGCTATATTTGAGATATTTGTATCAGGGTGTGTAAGACAGACCAGAGTCCGACTGTGCCATGTGCATGTGTTTTGAAATCGCTATCAAATAGTGATGACGCCAGGGGCCCGCGACAAGGTGAGCAGATGGGACAAGTCAAAATGGGGGATTGCATCAGACATCATATTTGTCACTGATGTGTCAAGTTTAGAAATGTCCTCCACATGTCTACCATAAAACATTTATAAAGGTTTACTGGGGCTTTGAATTGTGTAACCTTGATCAAACAACTTTTTAGCAAGAGTCGTATGATCTTCGTAGAACGATCATGCTCGATTGTACCTCAAACTTGAGAAATGTGGACAACAAAGGCTGGAGCTGCAGGAATATTGCTCAGCATAAAGGGAAAGTTGACTTTTGGAAAGTTGAAGCCATCCATTTTGTCATACAGTCTTATGGATAGTTTTTCTGGTTAGTCTCTCTGACAAAATCTTTCTGCATAGATCTAAATATGAAACAGATGAGTCGGTCTCACTGGTCTCCTATATTTCTAGTTCAGGTGGGTAAATCAGTGCAAGGGATTTGACTATTTGATGGTTAATGAACGATATCAGATCATCGATATATCTGAAGCTTAAGTAAATCTTCTTGTAGAAATTCGCTTGTTTTGATTCTGCCAGTCAGGCTTCAGGGAACCATCACACTGAAGGGCAGACACAAACCCGACACATAGGTTATCATTTATATTTATCGAGTTTCTGCATTTTATCTATAAACACAACACTCACACATGTGAATATTGAACTAGAACCAGAACTATGAAATGCTTCTGACCATTCGTGACTAACTCGTGCTATTCCGGGATAAGCCGAATAGCGACTCGTGCTCCTCTCGTGACCATTTTTGCGACCGGGTTCCGTCTAAGCGCAAAGGGGCAAAGCTAAAAGAATTGTCAACTCGTTGCGTAATGATTCGCGTATATTTTCACAGATATTTTATATATTTCAGATGCAATTTAAAGCGCATCTGGACATGCGGTATTATACAGTATGACTGAACACATTTAAATGTATCTTGGGTATATTTTTAGATACAAGACATATATAAAATCAAAATCTCAAGGGATTCTTGACCGAAGAGCTTGACGTCATACGCGCATTTTGATTGGTTTGTCGTATTTTCGCACATAACATTCATCGATATCTTCTTGCAGGTTTCGGAAAGGGGCGAGAGGTGACGAATGGCTTCTGACACACGGAATAAGCCGAGTGGATCCGAATGACATCTCTGGATACTCGGCATTGAGCATGCGCAATATTTCCACCAATAGAAATGGTCAACTGAGACTCTTGAATCCCGTGAGGTAATAAACCCACGTGGTTGATATCAACTTAACAGGAACAAAGGCTGTTGGTCATGTCGCGTGTTGCCTTGACTCGGTGCCAGGATTTGGACTTTGGCCTTAGTTCATAAGCACCAGCAGTGCGCTTGCTCCGAATAGTCACGGTCAAATGTATACCAACACTACTTGGCACGTACAGTTAATATTATAAAGTGTTCAACGTATAAGATATTGAAGTTCGATCCCGGCCCTGTAGAGTTCCACAAAACACACTAACAACCGGTTTTTTCCAGTACTGGCTCGTAGCACGAGGTGTGAGACAGACATTTTTTGGCCTTCTGGAATTTTGAAATTTTAAGTTACAGAAAAATATTGTTATGAAAATTATCAGACATGATCTTAAGGCCACCTTTTTTCCTTTCTGTTAGTTTCAATTTTCGAGTGAGTGAGTATGGCTCTACGCCTCTTTTAGCACCATTCCAGCAACATCACGGCGGGGAACACCGGAAATGGATCTCACACATTGCACCCATGTGGGGAACGAACTCGGGCCTTTGGCGGATGAGCGACCGCTTTAACCACCAGGCTACCCCACCGCCCCTGAAAGTTTTGAGTGAGTGAGTGAGTGAGTGAGTTTGGTTTTACGCCGCTTTTAGCAATATTCCAGCAATATCACGGCGGGGGACACCAGAAATGGGCCTGAAAGTTTTGAAGCCGTGAGACATCAGAACAGAGAACGTATAGCAACACGAGTAAAAAGGACGGTTTTGTCAAACGTCATGAGAAAATCTACGTTCATGACCCTGGATGACCGTACGTTTGTACTGTTTGTACCTGCACAAACCAGCCTGTGTTGAAGGTTCATGTTCAAATATCAGTGTTTCCTCTTGGAACACTCTTTGCCTTATAATTTGGCCTGATGTCTGCATTTTGTGGTATGGAAAGTTCCAACAAGTGTTGAAAACAGAAGCCGTATTATCGTTCATATGAACATCGCTTATAACCCTCATAACGAATTCTGACCCGTTAAGATCTTGGGTAGAATAGGTCTTCAGCAACCCATGCTTGCCGTGAAAGGCGACTACGCTTGTCGTAAGAGAAGACTAACGGGATCGGGTGGTCAGGCTCGCTGACTTGGTTGATGCATGTCGTGGATCAATGCTAATGATGTCAATCACTGGATTGTCTGGTTCAGACTCGACCATTTACTGACCACCGTCATGTAGCTGGAATAGTGCTGAGTGCGGCGTTAAACAACAAACAAACAAATCATAATGATTTCTAAAAGAAAGCACTTTTCTTAAATTATGTATATCTGGTGGGTCATAAAGGGATCATATTTTACATCAAAGGAAATGCCACAAATATATATATTATTAAAATAATTAGTCATCATTTTTCATCAAACACTACGATATTTTGATAATTGGATTTTATATACTTCTTTGTGATATATCCACCATTAATTCACAGCGATTGTGCAGCCTTCTCATATCAGTGTTAGTAAATGTGTTTGGTGCACGCTACTGCCATGTATTTACCAGGAAATCTTAATCACCATAGATAAAATGATATGTTGTGTACTGCATGTTTCTGGTCTGAGGTTCTGCTCAAAGCTTATTCCATTCGTGACCAACTCGTGTTATTCCGGGACAAGCCGATCTTCTTGCAGGTTACGGAAAGGGGCGAGTGGTGACGAATGAGCTTATTCGTGGCCACTCGTGTCAAGCCGAGAATGGTGTTGTCTTGCATGTTGCAGACAGGGGCAAGTGGTGACGACGCATCACACTCTGACACGATTCACCATTTCTTTGAGGTTACGGAAAGCGACGAGGTTTGCCGATTGGAATTATCAAAGCTATAGACTCACTCGGAAAGTAGTTCAGGCAGCACTGTGTTAAGCTCCGCCCACTGCTGTGGAAACTGGAATTTATACGCTGTCTGGTCCAGCACTATTTCTACCTCACCCCTGAAGCAACAAAGAAAAACACACGTCATGTCAAAATGAGTTGTCACTCGATAAAGAGGTCGTCGAAAAATTAATACAGGATGCGATATTTTTAAATTGGATATTCCATCTCGAAAAATCATTTCTACCAGATGTAGAGCCGGACAGGCATTTTGACCATTAGCATTTTATGAATATCAAATGCTGGGGAATTTTTAAAGCAGAAAATTGCCACAGATGTTTGCATTCACCAAAATCACAATGATTTTTTACGATAAAATCACTACCTATAATCCGACCCACTCTTCCGTCATTCACCGTCGTCCATCAACACCTGCGATCTATTTTGTGACACCGAGTATCGCGCCTCTGAGTAAATGTGTGAGGTTTTACCCCGCAATATTCCAGGAATATTCCAGCAACATCATGGCGGGGGACACAGAAATCACCCATGGGTATGACCCATACCCATGTGGAGAATCAAACCCGGGCTTTTGGTGTGACGAACGAACGCTATATCCACTAAGCTACCCAACCGCCCCCTTCGCAATGAAACATTAAACGAAGTCATGAATTACTTTGTAACCCTTACCGTAGTATGAAGTACATATCATTGGCAGCCTGGCCCTGTTTCGTCATACGGCAGCCATAGTGAACGGTCTCCTTCTTCAAGCTGATGATGAGATGTCGTTTCTGTTTGAATGACCACGTGTTAAACAGCGGGTTCTTGTCCACGAAAGCTGTCTTCTCGTTGTACTCTCGTTCCATGACGTCCCTGACTGAGCGGTTGTACAGGGCCTTGTCTACAACCAGCAGGTCCGTATCCTCGTCCACCACCACGCTCGCCGTACGGATGCAGTCCTCTTTGAGCAGGGCCACCTCGCCGAACGCTTGACCCTCCCCTGCAGGAGCCAGTGAGTTTAGTTTTACGCTGTTTTTGGCAATAGGTGAGGTGAAATGGGGTTTAACGTCGCGTCCAAGATTATTGCACTTATATAGCGACGTGCATACACGTGTGTGTGTGTGTGTGGCTGCTTGTACTAGTCCGGACTGATGCCGATTTATAGTGCTAGTCCACGGAGATACCATACCGTGACGACACACAATAAGAAGAGGACCCGTGAAGATCCGGGGTAGAATAGGTCTTCAGCAACCCATGCTTGCTGTAAAAAGGCGACTATGCTTGTCGTAAGAGGCGATTAACGGGATCGGGTGGTCAGGCTCGCTGACTTGGTTTATGCATGTCATCGTATCCCAATTGCGTGGATCAATAATCATGATATTAATCACTGAATTGCCTGGTCCAGACTCGATTATTTACAGACCGCCGTCATATGGCTTGAATATTTCTGAGCGCGGCGTTAAACAACAACCCAACCAACCAACCAATAAGAAGAGTCACAGATTGTACCAATCCGTCCCTAAAGTGTCCACAACAGGGGGCCTATCGTGATATCGAATCCCCAAAGGGAAGAGGGGAGATAGTTACGCAGCTTTGGCGTACCTGACGTCCACCCAAGCACACTACCCGGGTATCGTACCCTACCTGACGTCCAGACGTGCTGACCGAGGAGGGTCCTGTCCAGTTTCTTCTTGCTGCACGCGCTCTCCACCTGGGCGACGATGTCGTTCTCATTCTCCTTGTCGTGGATGACGTAGATGGACACCTTACCCCGCAGCACGATGTAAAGTCTGAAATATGACAGTGAGTGAGTGAGTGAGTGTGTGAGTTGGGTTTAACGCTGGTAAGTTTGGCAATAGTAAGGGACGCAACTCTTCTTTGCAAATTGGGGCGCCCTTAACTTGGACGCAGTTATATAATGGTACATATTATGTCACGGTACATGCTGCTATAACGTGATACATGTTGTTATTCCTCGGTATATGTTGATATGCCATGGTACATGTTATACTGTGGTACATGTTGTTATACCATGGTACATGTTGTTATACCACGGTACATGTTGTTATACCATGGTACATGTTGTTTTACAACGGTACATGTTGTTATACCATGGTACATGTTATAATACCACGGTACATGTTGTTATACCATGGTACATGTTGTTATACCATGGTACATGTTGTAATACCACGGTTCATGTTGTTATACCACGGTACATGTTGTTATACCATGGTACATGTTGTTATACCATGGTACATGTTGTTATACCACGGTACATGTTGTTATACCATGGTACATGTTATAATACCACGGTACATGTTGTTATACCATGGTACATGTTGTGATACCACGGTACATGTTGTTATACCACGGTACATGGTATTATACCACGGTACATGTTGTTATACCACGGTACATGTTGTTATACCATGGTACATGTTGTTATACCATCGTTGTGTTGTTTGTTATACCATGTTTGATGCTGTTTTAACAATTAATGATTTTGATGTCCACACTTTCGGTAGTTTGCCACAATGCTTAACTGTTTGAACTTTTGATCTGCTCCTTTAGAAGTATCCTACTCAAGTTTTACTTAGGCGATCCTTTCTTTCAACCAAACCGTAAATTGTGGTACACTATGTGTAAACGTTAAACACTATAGTGAGAGACTGAGTGTGTTGTTTTCTCTCCGCTTTTAGCAACATTACTTCAATATCACGGCGGGGACACATAAATGATCATTATACATTGCATCGCGTGTGGGGAATTGAACCCAGGTCTTCGGGGTATCAAGTCAGCGTGTTAACCACTAAAGGGTCGCCCTTAGACGTACCAGGATCCGCTGTTCATGTGTGCAAATCCTTGCTTCGGTCCCATACATTATCATTAATCATCACGGGTTTCGCTAAAGTGGGTAAAATACGAGACCTCGATCACATTAAGCTGGTACACAATCGTATGTCTTAGTTACTGTAAAAACGGCGGCAAAAGTAACTCACTCACCACCCAAAAACCCACTCACTCACTCACTCACTCACACACTTACTCACACACCCACTCTCTCATTCACCCACTCACTCACTCACTCACTCTCTTACCCACTCACAATGATGTGTCTTTGTTACTGTACAAACGGCGGAGAACATAACTCAACAACCCACTCACTCCCTCACACACTCGCTGCCCCCCCCCCCCCCCCCCCCCCCACACACACACACACCATCTCTCTGTGTGTCTCTCTGCTTCTCTCTCTCTCTCTGCCCTCTCCTCGTCTGTCAGTCTCTCTTCCCTGCTTGTCTGTCTATCTCACCGTCTCTCTCTCTCTCTCTCTCTCTCTCTCTCTCTCTCTCTCTCTCTCTCTCTCTCTCTCTCTCATCAACCCACCCACCCACTCACTCAACCATCACCGCACTCACTCACCCTTTAAAGGGCACTCACTCAATAGTCTAACGCCGTGAGACAACCAGCTTGAACTATGTCCACGTATTCAACAAGCATGAACACAAACACAATTAATAAAACAAATCGTTCGAAACTGGTTCGGCATCACCATGCGATCTCTGTCCATTATGACAACATAATACAAACACGTGGCATAACATATAAGTGCCACACCCGTCCGACACAAAGTCACGTGATGACAGTGACATATCGACAATCACACCTGAATACACACACATCCTGAAGACTGCCCGCATTGACCCTAGTTTGAACCCATACAACGTGGCATGCATTCTACAATTTCAACAAATATTTTGAAACGCGACCCTACTACTAAACCAGTATACAAATGTTGCTCTGCTAATATTAGCCTACAGCCGTCGACGTGTACTGTTACCATTGTTTCGTCTTAAACGTTTTGTTGTGGAGGTGAAACGTGCTGGGCATTGCCATAGTTGAGTCCAAATCAATTAATTTTTATGTCATTCGTAGACGAATATTTCAATAAATTGGCAGCTTGAATGTATTTGTTCAGTCATGTTTGTAAATATATCCACGAGATAAAGTTGACTGGGTGTAACATTAGCATACCTGTTAGTTAATGCGCAATAAAAACAACGCTGAAAACGTCGAAAATGTTGCATACAAATATACAAGTCAACCGTGACACACACACTCTTTTCGCTTCAACTGGGGGCACGGGTGGCCCAGTCGTCTAAGGCGCCGCGATTTGCTGTGCAGGGTTGCGTCCCTTGGGCATGCCAGAAACCTATGATTGTGGGTTCGAATCCCGGTTCGCCCTGATTATGTTTCTAGGTTTGTCAGCACCATACCCGTGCTCGTGGGTTTCACCGAAGTGGTAAACTTCTGAGACCTGCATCACTTCGGGCTTTCCTCCCACATTAAGCTGACACACCGTGATATAACTGGAATACTGTTAACAGCGGCGTTAAACCCAACTCACTCACACTCACTCAATTCAACTGCCAGAACCAGTTAAGTAGTCCTGTAAAATGAGGTGAAATGGTGTTTTGACACTTGCCAAAAACACGAGCGCCTTATCACGTTGGCCTGTGAAGAAACGTGATTGTACAAAACAAACCGGTGATTGATAGCATGAGCAATGATTGTCACGAAGCCGTGCTCCAGAGACCAGGGAGCCATTAAACAAGACCGTCATATAGCTGGTATATTGCTGAGTGCGGCGTTAAACAACAAACAAACAAACATTAAACAAGAATCAAGTAATAACGTGGTAGTAATAATTAAAACGTGGTAATAGGTTCACATGTTTATTACTATCCGCTAATTGTATCAATAGACGACAATATAAAAGATGAATAAAACCCAATTTACACTGACAATGATCACTGATTAGTTAAATCAGAGCAAATATACAAGCTGAGCTCGATCGTAGGACCACCAGTGGTTATTACGAGTTATGTCCCTTCTAAGCCTATCCTATGGACCAATCAGATTCCATCACTTGCATTTGTTTCAAACAAAACGGTGGCGCCCAGTCAAGACGATCTGATCGATAATCAAGATCTATATTGTGATAAAACGGGTCTTACATCGCAAAGTGCATCAAATCACGTGAGCACCTTGATAAAAAAACATGAAAAGGTTTAGAAAATACCTGGCGGTGCATATGCTTTGCAAATCCTGCAATCGACCGAAATCTGCGCGACAGTTTACGAACCAGATTTTGATTTCGTTGCGCGATTTTGATTGGACTATGCATAGACTCGTTAGTCCAGGCAAAATGTAACTCCATAGTACCAGCCTAGTTCGGCAAGGGTGGAAACTGGACTTTTATAGTCAGTTAACTCTCTTGCCTCGGGAAGATGCACTTTGACTGAACTGAACTGAACTCATTTATACTCAGGCCGCTATCAGCGGCATCAGAGGTTCAAAATTATTTCAACAACATAATAATACAAATATAGAATATATACAAAAAGATCTTGGCCGAGCATGCATGCATATTTATACAGATTTACTATGGTAGCAATATATGTGCAATTCAGAAAGAGGGAGAGTTACTTGATAGGTTTAAACAATGACATGATGATTTTACAGAATTTGGACAGTTTTCTCAATGTTCCTAGTCGTGAACTATTGTAAAGTAAATTAATTCAATGCATATTGGGTTTGATGTCGTAGAATCTGTGTAAAAAATGTTTTCTTTCGTTTTCTGAAGATAGGCAAGTAAACAGATAATGGAATTCATTACCTATGTCAGATAATTTGTAAAGTTGGTATTTCCTTTCGGTTAAAGGTATTTTTCTCCATCTCCCAGTTTCAATAGGTAGATTATTATTACAAGGTCTAAACCTAAGTAAGACTCGCCAAGCGCTTTCCTGTAGTACGTTTAAATAATATTCAAAATTTAGGCAGTCATTTTTTATGATACCATACATTGTGCCTTTTAAAGACTTATCCCTTGCACTGGTCCAACACTGTAGGTTAATGTCATTTAATTTTTCATTGACTTAATGTTTTATGTATGTGGGATTTTTTAAACTTTGTGAAAACCTAATGTAGCTGAGACAAGATATCGACAAGGTGAACAGACAACCAATTAAGTCAGCTCCGACCAATTAACACCTGGGAGTTAATTAACTCAACACTCTAAGGAGTGAATAACCTCGGCTGGGTTAACTCGTGGGAAATAAATTACAGAGGTCCTATCCCTAAAGTGAGTCTCTATGACGATAAAATAGATGAAAAAATCCCGAATAGCAAACAAGTCTTAATTATAGAGTAAGTCTTGATCACCTTGAATGGCCAAAGCAAATTGAATGCTAGACTTCTCAAAATACAAGGTACTTGACTTACGTAGTATCTGAACTCGCAATAATTAAAAAGGGTACTTGACCAAAATAGTAACTAGTAACTAGACTCCCAATAGTAGGTACTTGACCTGAACTAGACTATCGCGGTAAGCTAGTTATCCAGGGATTACTAGAAAAGCGGGGTATGAAATATAAACGCCTAGCTAATGAGATTTAGCTAAATACCACAGAGTAGGTCAGTACAAGAGAGAAAACTGCCCTATGACCACTTGCAAACGAAACCTAAGTTTCGACCTGACGAAACCAGTAGCAAGACGACCGTAAACGGTCTAGCGATACCAGGGGGAAAAGATACATAATTTCGTCAAGGTTTTATACGAGTGCGCGGACGTCGTAGAGGACAACCTGCCCTGGTCGAGCAAAGAAATGCAATAGCCTGGTGAGGTTATCTTCCCGAGGCAAGAGAGTTAACTGACTTTAAAAGTCCTGTGGAAACTGGACCTTTATAGTCAGTTAACTCTCTTGCCTCGGAAAGATGGGCGAGGTAACCAAAGAGTGTTCCGAACAGGGACAGCCCGAATAGCAAGCTAACTACTAAATCAATAGGTAAGATGTAGATACCAAACATAACATAAGCTAACCAACGGTAGCACTAAAGATTTACAACCAGATATGTACAATTATTGGGGTGGCAAAAATGACCTTAAATACATGAGGAATTGAAATATCTATTAGTACAATAAAATTGCGCTACTGCATTAAAATCAAAGATACTAAAACATTTTCAATCTGGTAGCAAACATATGAGGTAACATATATAACTCATCACTACATGATAAAAGTATGAGATAATCAGCTAGAGAATCAAATTACGGGTCGCCAATTCTCTAACAATGAACGTAAAGACACTGGACAACGACGACCGCCGGACTTTGCCGAATGGTAACGGAAGCCGGACCATTAAGGGAGAGGGGAGCGGTGCGGTTACTAGACCGTGACTAGACTGGTTTTACGACTCGGCGACAATGATCAATGTTTAGATGACACACAAGTTGCGTCACGTGTGGAATCGCACCATTTTGATCGATATTGCTAGCAAAGATCCACGGCGTGGATGACACGCAATCAAACCATCCCCGACTATCCAGGGTATTATATCTCATTCTATAAAGATATCCGCCACCATAGCTTCGACGACCAGAAACAACCATCCCATCAAATTACTCTCGGTGACCGACGTGACTGTGTGTCATCGTACGCTTGACATACCCATCATATAGCTGGACTGTTGCTGAGTAGCGTTAAGCAGCACCCCCAAAATGTCCCTGAAATATTAGCGGATGCATCAATACCATATAAGGAAAGTATACTCACTTGTCACCATGGTCACCTTGCTGGATGATGACGTCATCTGCAAAGTTCTTCTCAAAACTGCTATGCTTAATGACATCTTTAACAATTTCTGAAAAAAAATATAAATACAATATAATCACGGTTAACGTCACTCTCCGCCAACGTCTCTTACCGAACACGGCGAGACAGGTGGCTCAGTGGTTTAAGGTATCCCAATTTGCTGTACAGAGTTACGTCCCCTCCGCATGCCACAAAACTACAGTCATGGGATCGAATCCCGTTTCGCCCCGATAATATTTCTATATTTGTCAGCACCATACACCATCTTATCAAAGTGGTAAACGCCAAGGTTTTAGACAATACGTTTGTTTGTTTGTTTGTGTGTTGTTTAACGCCGCACTCAGCAATATTACAGCTATTTGACGGCGGTCTGTAAATAACATAGTCTAAAACACACAACATCATGAGCATCGATCCACGTAATTGGGATATGATGACAAGCAACCAAGTCAGCGAGCCTGACCAACCGCTTCCGTTAGCCACCGCCTACGACAAGCATGGGTTGCTGAAGGCCAATTCTAACCCGTATCTTCACGGGGACATGCGTCCTTGACACATAGACATTAAATAGCCCTGGGTTCCGAGGATGGGTTTCGTTGTCCCCAACTGCCGGACTGAACAACAAACTGAGACTATATATAGATATGCCACTGACCACAGAGGCCCAAACCTCGCCATTGAACCGTATGCTGGACAGACAAAATAACCTCGTCCAATAAATGAATATTTCCACAAATAGGGTTCTATTATTAGTTTCCCTTACAGTAAAGATAATTAATCTCGATTTAATGCCGTTAATACCTTAAGGACATTAATGTACACAAAGACTGTTTTGATGTCTCCCGCATAGCTGAGCAATGGCTGTCCCTCGCCATTAAGTAGTGTGTCTGCACGATAAGACTTGTTACAGCGTCACGAGAACGACAAAGGAGACATGCTCATAATCCTCTTTATTATCTTGTGGATACACCGATCACAACAACATTATTCCCATTGGCGTGTTCCGCTTTGTATTCCTCTCATGGACATCAGTCTGGAAACAGACATGGCGACAAAATATGCCCACAGCGTCGGAGCGGTTGTCCATTGTGCAGTGATCGTTGTGTGTAAGCACCCTTTCATATAAGATCTGATACATATAAACAGGCTTTGGTTGGAATATTAACATCATGGACTGGGTGTATGAATGACCACAGGTCATTGATAAGAGTTGAAGAGTTCAGGCAGGACTCTACGACAAAGGAAGTGACCAGCCGATATGACGTGCCTGACAAGGGAAATGCGATAGGTTTATCTGTGAATCTGTTCACCGGTTATTATGCCCATGTCCAATGCGTCGGTTTTGTTTGTAGAAGTTACTGACAAGGCTACGTCAAGTAAGAAAAAAGAAAATAAACTGCCAGGAAAAAAATACGCTATACACCCGTGTTTGTTTGTTGATGGCTAAAATAAACATACAAGGAATATTCGATGGTGGTGTATATGACACGGGTATCACAGTACAAGCCGCATATTATTGCATCATATCAATGAGTATCTTACAACAGGCGACTGATTTCAGCCTAATAACGTTTGTAATCTTTTGGTCGAATCAGTTTTCAAGTGTTTACTGCCCTTTGCAAGGCAGTTCAGAAGAATGGTTATTTCAAGAAGCGGGGCAGAAGGAACCACAGAGTGTTCCTACATTACATTTTGTTTTTCGTTTATTTATATAATTCGCACTTTAAACGTGGAGTAGACTTAAAATCACTTCAATATTCCGGATATCCATATTTTTGCTGTTAAATTAGTCAATTTCCATCACTGATACATCTCGGTTAAAAAATATATACCTTTGTCGATGGATGATGTTCATACTATCAATCACTGGTTTCTTTGGCCCAGACTCGGTTAATTATACAACAGGACAATGTCTGACTGTGACATAAACGACAAAGCAATAAAACTTTATTTTAAACAGCCGGGAAAAAGAACACATACACTTGACAATTTGATTTGACTAAAACAATACAAGGGCGGTGAGGTAGCCTAGTGGTTAAAGCGTTCGCTCATCACGCCGAAAACCCGGGTTCGATTCCCGACATGGGTACAATGTGAGATGCCCATTTCCGGTGTCCCCCGACGTGATAGTGCAGGAATATTGCTAAAAGCGGCGTAAAACCATACTCACTCACTAAAACATTACAAACGTTAACAAAACGTTACCAGGCTGCAAACAGATGCTGAAACAGTGCAAAACCTAAGGTCCAAAACACAACTAAACATCACCATCGAATAACCATTTCTTGTTTGTAGCATTTTTATCCACCATCAAACATGGCTGTGTACGTTCTTTGGCCGGCAGTTTAGAGTGAGTGAGTGAGTTGGGTTTAACGCCGCTTTTAACAGTATTCCAGTTATATCACGGCGTGTCAGCTTAATGTGGGAGGAAAGCCCGAAGTGATGCAAGTCTCAGACGTTTACCACTTCGGTGAAACCCACGAGCACGGGTATGGTGCTGACAAACCTAGAAACATAATCGGGGCGAACCGGGATTCGAACCGGTTTCTGGCGTGCCCAAGGGACGCAACTCTGCACAGCGAATCGCGGCGCCTTAGACGACTGGGCCACCCGTGCCCCCTCAGTTTAGATAAAGGGTTCATGATACGCCCGCGTTTCTAACGATGGTAATCACGTGCATATATATCGCCAGTAGATAAAAAATTGTCAGTGAATATCAAAAGAAAATGTCAACATTCTCTTCTTATCCGTTGCCATGGCTACTATGGTTGGTTGCTATGGTTACCAACACGTAGTCGTTAAATGTAAACTTGTATCAACACTATTAAATTTAAGTGAACAATTATTGATTTTGTCAATAATCAATGACCATTCATGCATTTAAAGTATCGAATATTGAAATGGCATGGCAAACATGACATGCGTTTAACCTTCTAGTCGTTGTCGGCTTGACCTCTCGAGGTCACAATACGTCGCGTAATATGTTCCACTGTCATATCACCCTTAACTCCTACGCTATAGCCTTGAGTACGGACACGTCGTTAGTTCCGCCCACTGCGCATGCCCGGACAGAACATCGTGTCAATTTCAAATCCTATGCGCTTACAACGGCTATGCTGCGAGGATCAAGAATGTTGTCAAGTGTGAATTATACCTGTCTGTTGTCAAAAACACAGACGGCACAAACAATGGCGGTCGTATTGGAAACAGAATCTTTGCAGTCTGGCCTTGGAGTAATTTTGAAACAGAAGTAGTCAATACAGAAACATTAGACAAAAATAAATGCACTCGTTTTCGTAATAATCTGACAGGCCCATGTTTTAATTAGGACCCTGAAATAAACCGAGCTAAGCATGTTTATTAAAATAATAATGCTTTACCTATCGACTTATATCTGTTCAGCACCAGGGAATATCGGGTTGAAATAGTTCACATTGACCAATCGTTTCGTAACAGGCTACTAAAAGGATCGGGAAACCTAGGGGTTAAAGCGTTTGCTCGTCACGTCAAAGACCCAAGTTCGATTCCCCACATGGGTACAACGTGTGAAGCCCTCCGTGATATTGCCGGAATATTGCTAAAAGAGGCGTAAAACCATACTCACTCACTCACTCACTCACTGATCGGGAGGTCAGGTCAGATGACTGTTGATTGCGTCATCGTTCCCCGGGGGCGTCGGATTGCTCATCACATCAACCACTGGTTTGCACGGGTGGCCCAGTCGTCTAAGGCGCCGTGATTCGCTGTGCAGAGTTGTGTCCCTTGGACACGCCAGAAACCTATGATTGTGGGTTCGAATCCCGGTTCGCCCCGATTATGTTGTCTGAGACCTGCATCAGTTCGGGCTTTCCTCCCACATTAAGCTGACACGCCCTGATATAACTGGAATACTGTTCAAAGCGGCGTTAAAACCCAACTCACTCACTCACCGACTTCGTACATTGTGATTACTAATACAGGCTTATTCATATTTGCTTTGAGCATGCATGTGTTTAAGCCATGCAAATACTGCTCAGACTGCATGGCGTACACAAACGTATTTTTGAAAACATCCATCAGCAGGTTCAAATTAGTGAGTGAGTGAGTGAATATGGTTTTACGCCGCTTTTAGCAATATTCCAGCAATATCACAGCAATATCATTGTACCCATGTCGGGAATCGAACCCGGCTCTTCGGCGTGACGAGCGAACTCTTTAACCACTAGGCTACCCGACCGCCCCTCAAATTATAGCGGATTTGTGTTACGATGCATAAAGCATAGTTTACTATGCATAAGTTGTATGTTATTCTAGCGATTGAAGTATATTAGTTCTGCAAGTCCACATATCTATATTACAGACACAAATTGGCACAAGATATTGTTTAGAAGTCGAGAGGAGCTCATAATATAAATGAGGGTGCTGATGACCCTTCTCTAGGCATCCGACACACCACGTGATTTGTCTTAGCATCTAATTTAAGAATTGTGTCAGTGTACACAGCTGGTACAAGAACTTTTTTTCTCTAAATTTTGGATATTCGCTCTGTTATTACATGGTCCAATTTCTGATGTTTGTTAATGAAATTCTAGCTCATGAACATTGTTATTAAATGTACATTAAATTTTACATTTATACACATAATATTTCGCCGTAAATAGAAGATAACTGAGTATCGTTTCCTCGGTGGACAGACACTGTTTCACTTCGTACAAGTACACTAGACTTGAATTTTCATAAAGAAAACCTTACCATATTTTATTGTTTTTTACTGCCTGCAAGAAGAAAAAAAGAGAACATTTCTTGGCATCAGCGTACTGCACTGGGACATCCGATGTCCATTTAACAGGGCTCGGCATCCGGGAAACCAGAGGGGTTGCACCCTCATAAATGACGTCATACTCTGCACCATCCGGGTAACCTGGGTCATCGGATGACAATGCACATTCTGTTCGAACTAATAAACTTCTCTTTATAAATACCACCCAATTGAAAGTTTAGGGTGAATGGGTACAATACACTTTGTCAAATAAAGAATACCGGCGAACTAATCTCGAAATCTCGGTCTAT